TTAAGAAAATAACAGCACTTTTTAAATTGATAGAAACCTTGTTTGCTTTTAAGTGGCAAAAGCTGCCAGTAGCAATGGGTCCATCGAAAATGCAGAGCAAGTCAAAAAACACAGAGCTGCAAAGATAGGTCAAACTCAAATTGATATTTTTTCTACCTTTACAGGTTCGAGGTGGGCATATGGTCTAACGGATTTCACAGGCAAGCTGAGGGAAGGCGATTACTGATAAATCGACCAAAGAGCAAAAGCGCCGAAAAGAGTTCCAAAGGCTGGACGACGCAAAATCTTATGAAAGTGCGAGATGTTTGCTAGTTATTTAAGTAATAATGTATGACAATCTGTAAATTCTGCATAGCTTTTGTATTTAATTTTAAATTCTATGTATAGTTTTTGTACTGGTTTTTAAACTCTGTATATTTACGTATAGCTTTTTTATTGATTTTTAAATTCTTTATGTATAGTTTTTTATATTAATCTGTAAATTCTTTGTATTTCCGTATAACTTTTGTATTAATTTTTAAATTCTATATATTTCTATACAACTTTTGCATTGATTCTTAAATTCTGTATACTTCTGTATAGCTATCGTATTGATTTTTTAAACCATTGTACTTTTGTACAGCTTTTTCTACTAATTTGTAAATTCTGTGTATTTCTGTAGAGCTTTCATACTGATTTTTGAATTTCTGTATTTCTGTATAGCTTTTGTGTTGATTTTTAAATCTTATATATTTCTGTGTAGCTTCTGTATTGATTTTTGAACTTTGCATACTTCTGTACTAATTTGTAATTTCTGCATAAGTTAGTTTCTACATAACTTTTGTTTTTTAAAATTTCTTGCCCCTTTTGCTGTAATTTTAAAAAATAAATTTTTTAAATCTGTTGTACACCTTTGTTTTGCAGGAAGGGTTTGTTCCATCGAGAGTGAGTGCCTTCACAATTGCTGTGTGCCCAATTTTAATGAGATCGGAAACCCGATCCTTCGGGTGGTCAAAGTTCAACCTGTGAAGGACATGGGGTTCAAAATGAAACCTCAAAATATTTAAAAGCAATTTAAAACTAACAAAAACAAAAAAGCATATTATAAAATATAAGAAATCCTGGCAGGGATTTCTACTTTATAATATATTTTTCTGCTTTTTACTTGATGAACCGAAACGTCTTATCTCACTCTCACCATCAACTTACATTTCTCCTACATCTTTACATCCCGCCATCTGCACTCCCAGGGTTCA